TGAAATTACCCACCCCTATAAAAACTGACAACCCCAAACCCTGGTGCCTTTCTCACCTTCTGAGATGGCCCACACTCTGTCTGTGGAGTGTGTTTCTCTCTAAATAAATCCACTTCTTACTTATCACTTTGTCTCTCACTGAATTTCTTCTGCGATGAGACATCAAGAATCTAAGCTTCATTAAGTCCTGAAACCAGGTGTGTGATCACAGTTCAAAGACTGTGGGTTTTGGCCGGGTTCGAGTCCCAGCCGTGGGGGTTCAAGTCCCAATCTGAGGTGCACGGTTTCACTTCCTGGGTCATCTTAGTTCTCTGCATCCTCCATGCCTCAAACAGAACCCGGCTGACTGTCAGTTCTTGTTTGCTGCTTGAAGGAAGGAATGAACGCCTGTGGTGGGGCCGGGCAGAAGGGAAAAAGGGATCAGATAGACCTGGGTTCAAATTTCTGCTCTTGGGGCTTCCCTGGTGGTGCAGTGGTTAAGAATCTGCCTGCCAATGCAGGGAACACGGGTTCAAGCCCTGATCTGGGCAGATCCCACATGCCACAGAGCAACTAAGCCTATGCGCCACAACTACTGAGCCTGCACTCTAGAGCCCGCGCACCACAACTACTGAGCCCAGGTGCCACAACTACTGAAGCCCGCGCGCCTAGAGCCCGTGCTCCACAACAAGAGAAGCCACTGCAATGAGAAACCCATGCACCATGACGAAGAGTAGCCCCCGCTTGCCGCCACTAGAGAAAGCCCGCGCGCACAAACGAAGACCCAACGCAGCCAGAAATAAATTAAAAAATTATTTAAATTAAATTAAATTAAATTAAAATTAAAAATTAATTAAAAAAAATTTCTGCTCTTCACCTACTGGCTGTGTGACCTTGGGCAAATCATTTAGCTTATCTGAGCCTCAGTTTCTTTGTGAAATGGGAAGCCCAGGGCCTACGTCCCTGGATTGCTCTCAGGCTCAATGAGCTGCTGTGTACAAAGTAGTGACACAGTGGCTGGCGCCTGCATAAAGGCTCAGTAAACTGATAAGAACTTTTTTCTGAGTCTCTACACATCCCAACGTGTCCGCTTGCTGTGACTCGACTTACCCTTTCAGGATTCCATCTCTCCGGCACCTCCCAGATTCTATCCAGCTCCCAAACCACTCAAGTCTCAGCCTGGCCCTCAAAGGATCAGGCATAAAGACAGAAAGCTGCCCATCTTCACCCTGAAGGAAACTGGAGGCCAATTCTTCTGTCCTCTATGGGGTCCTTGCCTCCTTCCCCATCCTTCATCTTGACTGGCCAAAAAGGACATCCCAGAGCACAACCCAAGCTGGAAGTTTCTGGAATTCATGGGAAAAAGCCCCACACTAGTTAGGGGAGAGTTCCCAAGGCCTGGGTGCCCCACACTCCCAGCCTGTCTGCTCCCTCGAAAAGGGTCCCGGTACCTCCTATTTTCCCAGCCAGGAGGCCTGCCAGTTCCCACATTACCACATGAATGGGCCACAAGGCGCCCTGTCCACTCGAGCAAACAATTTGGCTAGCAAATTGACATAATTAGGAGAGACAGAGAGGGAAGAAAGCCGCGCCCGGCTCCCACAGCAGCCCGCGGGCAGCTCCTGCCGAGCTCCTCCTGGGCTTTGTGGGCCTGGTGCTCAGGGCTGATTAGAAACCTTGTGGCCTTTTCAAGAGCCCTAAGTGATTGGCCCCCTTAATCTGATTACAACTTGCAGCGCCCCTCCAGCCGCCTCTGAAGGGCCGTTCTCAAGCATCCTGCTTGATGGTGCACACACGAGTACACACACACACACACACACACACACTTAGCACCCACTCAGGCCTGCTGGTGGAGGCGCTGCCTCTTTCCTCACCATGGCTCACCTCTTTAGTCAGGGACCTCTGAGGACCTCTGAGCTGTCCTAGTCGCCGCCTTCAGGCCCCATTCCCCTCAAGACAGGCCCTAAACCTGACACACAAGGGGACTGACACTGCCCCTAACACACTGGGTCACCTATCTTTTAATTTTTTTAATTTCTTAATACAATTTTAAAAGTTACTTTCCATTTACAGTTATTACAAAACATTGGCTATACTCCCCACGTCGTACAATACATCCTTGAGTCTATCTTACACCCAACAGTTTGTACTTCCCTCTCGCCCACCCCCAATTGCCCTCCCCCCACCCCAACTGGTAACCACTAGCTTGTTCTTTATATCTTGGGTCACGTATCTTTAGAGTGTCCCACTCGGATACACTGCCCAGGACAGGGGCACACGCGTACACTCACACCCCATGGGCATGCCTCCCCACCACCCATCCCTCCTCAGAGCGGCCACTCTGACCATCCAGGACAAGGTACCCGACCCCACCAAGGGCAGCCCTCTCTCCACAGCAGCTGTATTTCCGGGGCTTCTCGGGCTGCAGCTCCCAGGGGATTAGGCCCAGCAGGCAGCCTGGACACAGCTCAGGCACAGGCTGCTTGGGCCGCCCCCCCTGGGAACTCAGCTCGCAGGGCTACCGTCAATGGCCTCAGCTCTCCACATCCACTTTCTAGCTCTTAATCCCCGGAGCTGAGCCACAATGGCCCCTTTTCCCATACTTGCTCCTGGTCCTCACAGGCCCCAGCCTGGCCTCCCACCCCAATCGGAGCCCTCCTGGACCACAGCGCAGGATGAGGGTGGGGCGGGGGACAAACCTGGCGCAAGGCGGAAGGGGACAGAAGAGGAGGCTCTGGCCTTGTTAACTAACCACCCCTACCCCAAGAGATGCAAGACAGGCATGTACGTATGGGTGGGTGACATGCGTAGGGCCCTCAGGGATGAGCCCCAGGCTGCTGCACCCCATCTTTCAGGCCATTCAACCTGGAGGCTCTGAGAAAGGGTTCTCCACTTAAGAACCCCACTCTTTTCTCACACCGTCCTGAAGACCCTCATCTCCTGGCTGGGCCAGGAACCAGAGAGTGGGAAACATGGGGTCCAGGTTGGAACACTGAAATCAGAGGGACCTGGGCTCCAGTGTCACTTTAGCACCACCCTTAATAACACTGTGACCATGGACGGGTTACTTATCCTCTCTGGACCTCAGTATCCCCACCTGTGAGATGCTGGGAGCTGCTGGGAGGTTAAATAACAGGGCCTGTAAGGTCAGCACAGTGCCCAGCACATAGTCAGCACTCAACACATAGCTGCTGTCATCATTTGTGAGTCAAAACAGGAGGGGACTTGGGGTACAGCCACCAAACAACAGATGTGGGGACAGTCTCTGGGTGTGCCCCTGCAGCCCTGCAGGAATCTGGGCTCTGCAGGGTCCTGCGAAAACCGTCGTCACAGCTGTGCCCTCCAGGATAAGCCTCCCAGTATAAGCCTCCCAGTTGCCAACATTTTAAAGACCTCATCCCCAATCACGTGACCCAGAGCTAGTTTGGGCAACAGGGGTCGGTCCAGACTCAGGTCTCTCCCTGCTGAGGCCTGGGCTTGGGCTCCCAGGGCAACCTCTATATTACCCTGAGGCAACTGCCGGACCCTTGTGTTCGGTGCCCTCCCTGCACAGCCACCAGAACCCAGGTCGTGTCATCAGGGGAAGGGGCCCCCCCCAGAGCCCCCAAAGCCTGGTCCTTGTCTGGGCCTACTACTGGGCGAGACTGCCAGCGGGACCTCAGGGCCGTCAGGCTTCGGGGATCTCCTCCACCCGTACCTCTCCGGCGCCGCCGCCCCTCCCAGGCCCTCCGTGGGCGTGCCGGGCTGGGCTGGCTGGGCTGGGCCAGCTCTGCAGGGGGAGGGAGGCTGGGGTGAGGATCAGCTGAAATCAAAGCCGCCGCTCCCCTCCCCGCCACGCCGCACCCCTGCCGAGCCGCCGCGCACCTCCTTCTTTGTCACAATGTTTTTCAATCCGGTGAAGCAAACTGTCCAATTAGAGCCGGGGCCTCCGGCTTCCATCTTTGCCGACGTTTAATTAACACGCTCCTCTTGGCAGCTGCTGACAAGTTCCAGAAACAGGTTGTAAAGGGTTTTTGTCTTTACCCAGCATGGAAAATGAGGGGTGTTACATCTCGGGAACATGAATAGGTTGCATTTCAGCTCCTCCTCCCCGCCGCCTCCTCCCGCTCCTCTGGCAAGCGGAATGAAGGCCTGAGTGCGTATGTACGTGTGAATTGCGAGGCGGACGGGGAGGGCGATTTGGAGGCAGGAGAGACCTTCTCCTCCCTCTCCCCTCACCCCTTCTTCCTGGAGTCTTTGCTCCACAAAGGATCTGGATTCTGCTTCTTATTCTCCAGCTGGCACACTTTTGCCTCACCTCCTTTTTAGCCATACCAAACCTTGCCATGCTGATTCCCATCCCTGGGTCTCTGCCCATGCTGTCCCTTTGCCATCCTTCTGGTAAACTCCTATTCAGCCTCCAAAACCCTGCACAGGTGGCCCACTCTGGTAAGCCACCTGGGCATTGAATGCCTGCCAGAGTTCAGGGTGGATTCTGGATGTCAGTTTAATCCCCCCGCTACACTGTGAGCCCCCTGAAGGCAGGAACCCTGTGTGGTGGCAGGCCTTAATAAGTGATGGAAGATCTGAATTACTGCAACATTCTCCCAATGTGGAGGGAAAGCAGGACTGGCATGGCAGGGAGGAAGGCGGGAAGGGTTGGGGGAGGGGAATTGGCCACAAAAGCCCTATCTCTCTACTCTCTCACCTGCCTGAGTGCCCTTGAAAGGGAGCCGGGTCACATGGAGGGCACAGTGGGCATGGTAGTTTCACAAAATGGGTGTTTCTGGGGTGGCTGATGTGAAGTAAGGAGGGGCCTTGGGGAAAGATCCCAGTACAAAAGCTGAGCCCTGCTGGGGGAGGGTGGGGGCGGGCTCCAGGCTGGGCAGACTCCAGCACCCTGAATTCTTCCTCTTCAGCCTGGGATGACTTTCCTTGCAGTGTGAGCGGCAGCTTGGGGTGGGAGGTCAGGACTGAGGCAGGAGGTTTCTTGGGTCTTTTTCTCCCTCAAACTGGCCCTGTTGGAGCATTAATACCCATTCTACAAAGAACACCAAGAACGTTTTATTCACGGAGGCTACCATCTGCATGGCACAGAGAGGCCTGGAGGTTTCAGGGGGCATGGGAGATACTGGCTGAGGGGCAGGAAGGGAGTGGAAGAGCCCAGCAGTCGGTGGTTGGCAGCTACGTTGTCTCATAGGAGGGCTCAGGTCCATCTCCAGCCCCCAGCCCCACTCCTGCCTGCTTTTCTCAGGCTGTGGCCACCAAGACCCCTGGTGGCAGGCTTCCTGCAGCCAGAACCTGGCTTGGATGCCCACTTTGTCTATAGCTCCTCCTCCATTCTCAGGCAGGTCCCCTGGGATGAAGGCGGAGGGAGAGATGGAGGCACCCTGGACCGGGCCAGCAGGTGGAGTGCCGCTCGCCTTGCTCTTTTGTTCCCAGCTTGATCAGCACTGGCTCCTTGGGGGAATGCTGGAACAGTCTGTGGAGCCTGCAGGGAGAGAGCCAACAGCAGCGGGCCACTGTCATGCTCTGCAGTAGCCCCTCGGGCACCTTTTCCTTTTCTGAACGAGATGGGCAGCATTAGAAGCAACCGGTGACAGCCTCTCTTTTCTCTTTCCTTAAACCCCAGCATCCTCTCCTGCCACATCACTCAGCCTGTGTCCCAGACACAGCTCTTTCCAAACTCTGGTCTTTGAAGAGGTCAGATAACTACGATAAGAGCAATGATAGCGACCTGGAGAGACCCCAGTTCCTCCACTTGCACTGTGTGGCTTTGAAGATCCTGAACATCTCTGAGCCTTAATTTCCTCATCTATTAAAAAGAGGGAAGTAACTGCACCTGTCTGTAGAGATCTCTGAAGGGTCAGATGCAAAAGACATGAGAAAGGGCTTGGTGCATTCCACAGAGGGAGCAAGGAAATGTTAGTTGATGGAAAAAAAGGAAGGAGAGAGAGATAAGGAAGGAAGGAAGGGTCTCGCCTGAGTTGATCTACTGAACAGAGCCAGACCTGTCATCTCCACTTTTATAAATGAGGAAAGTGAGGCTCAGTCTCTGGGGTGAAGAGTTCCTCAAAGTCACTCTTCCAGTCCAGGGTGCTTTCCACAAATTACCGTGTCTGTCCAGTAGGCACATAGTCTGACTGAGTGCCTCTCCCACCAACCCCAGCATGCAGCTGTGGGTGGGTGGGTAGGAGGGTGTGGGAACTCACATCCTCATTTCTTGATGCTTTCTTTTTGCCCCTTTGCTGGTGGCATCTGATTCCCAGAGTTGGGCCCCCACTGACAAGCCAAGCCCATGCTCACCTGCTTCTCACTTGCCTTGGGAGTTTAAGGTTCTGAGGGCTTGAGGGTGGGGTCCTCAGAACGGAAGACAATATTCTTCTGGTCCTTGGGCATCTGCAGAGAGAGGAGGCAGCTCCGAGGGCCCTGCCCCAGGCCGGGCAGGTGTACCTGGTGGAACTAGAACAGCCTGGGCAAGTCAGGAGCAGCAAATGGTGTGTGGCGGGCGCCACCTTGTGATCACCGTGCAGTTTGCATGCCGCAAGGCAGGGCAGTCTTTCACACAGGTATCTGGCTTCTAGTTCACTTAGCCACTGTCCAGGGTGCTAGGGCACTGCAAGGCCAAGGCACAGTCCTTGACCCACTAGAGCAATGGGAAGGCATTCAAGTGAAGTGCACAGTGACAGTAAGAGTTGTAAATGCACGCAAGAGACTGATAACCCAGCCTGGGGGGATTCCATTGTGCTGAACACACTTTTTGAAAGAGGCGTAGCAGTGTGCCAGGTGAGAGGCAGCACGGCAAGCTCCCTGAAGCACTAGCAGGTCCAAAAGTGAGGTAGGGGGAGATGCAGGGGCAGCCAGAAGTGGATTGGTAGGTGCAGTAGGGGTGGGGCAGATCAGCCCAACCTTGGCCTCAAGGCTCAGATTTGATCCTAAAGACTCCCTCATCTGTTGTCCTGGGGAATATCTGTCTCACTTCTGTCCTCTGGGAAGCCACCTTATCTCCCAGGTAGACTACCCAGAGGCCAGGGGCCATGGGAATGGCTTGATGGTGGCTTACTTCCATCGACACGGAATTGTATTACTTGAAACTGAGCACTGCTGAAGAGTATACAGCACGGAGAAGGTGTGAACTTAGAATAAATTATAAAGATCAAAACGGAACCAAGAGGGAATTCCCTGGTGGTCCAGTGGTTAGGACTTGGAGCTTCCACTGCTGCGGCCGCCCCAGTTCAATCCCTGGTTGGGAAACTAGGATCCCACAAGCTGTGCAATGGCCAAAAAAAAAGAAAAGAAAAAAAATAAAACAAGAGAGAACTTCTACATATGGGAATTGATAATGTTTTTTAGTTTATTTCATCAGCATTAAATCTGTGTGGTTTCTAATTGTGGTGTCTGAAATAGTTTAAGTTCTGACTTCAAATATAGAGTGAAAATAATTACACTGCTAAAAAAATAAAGTTTATTCAGAATGTAATAACACAAAACACTTCTTATGATAGAGAGATAAAGAAAAAGAGCAGGATACCAAATCGAGTATAATATCATCTCAGCTATGTATGAAAAATCAATGCCGATTTTAAAAAAAGGGCTGGAAGGAAATATATCGAGACTATTAATAGTGCTTGAATGACGGTGATGGGATTTCTTTCTATTTTTCTCTATTTCCAGATTTTCTTTAATGAGCTTCTATTCATGTTATAATTTAAAAAATAATTTAAAGAGAGTGAATTGAAAAGGCTTATTAGTTATGTACATAAAATTGGATTACCCTGAAAACTTCTGGTATGATTTTAAAAATACAGAGCCAACTAATCATAAGAGATGCAAATCAAAACCACAATGAGCTATCACCTCACACCTGTCAGAATGGCTATCATCAGAAAGTCTACAAATAACAAACGCTGGTGAGGATGTGAGAAAAGGGAACCCTGGACACCGTTGGTGGGAATGAAAATTGGTGCAGCCACTATGGAGAACAGTATGGAAGTTCCTCAAAAAACTAAAAATAGAACTGCTATATGATCCAGCAATTCCACTGCTGGATATATATCTGAAGAAAATGGAAACACTAATTTGAAAAGATATATGCACCCCAATGTGCATAGCAGCATTATTTACAATAGCCAAGATATGGAAGCAACCTAAGTGTTCAACAACAGATAAGCAGATAAAGAAGAAGACGTGGTATATAGAGAGAATGGAATATTACTCAGCCATAAAAAAGAATGAAATTCTGCCATTTGTAACAACATAGATGGACCTGGAGGGTGTTATGCTTAGTGAAATAAATCAGAGAAAGACAAATACTGTACGTTATCACTTATATGTGGAATCTAAAACATAAAATGAACGAATGAATATAACAGAACAGAAACAGACTCACAGATACAGAGAACAAACTAGTGGTTACCAGTGGGGAGAGGGAAGGGAGGAGGGGCCAGATGGGGTAGGGGATTAAGAGGTACAAACCACCATGTATAAAATAAGCTACAAGGATATAGTATACAGCACAGGGAAATATAGCTATTATTTTATAATAACTTTAAATAGAGTATATTAGAATATTGAATCACTATGCTGTACATCTGAAACTAATATAATACTGTAATTCAACCATACTTCAGTAATAAAATAATACAAAGCCAAATGAAGGACCATGATGGGCAGACCCTTGTCTCAGGGGCCACAGACACAGGCTAGGTCCTTGCCCTTGTCAGGAGGGGGAAGTGCAGGAGGCAAGAAGGGCCCTCTGTGTCATCCTCCATCACCTAATGCAGGTAAATACCTCTAATAATGATTCGTGGGGAGGAAGGCCATCCTGAAGTCACAGAAAGCCCAGACTGTGGCATGTTTTTTGTTTTTTGTTTTTTGCTGTACGCGGGCCTCTCACTGTCGTGGCCTCTCCCGTTGCGGAGCACAGGCTCCGGACGCGCAGGCTCAGTGGCCATGGCTCACGGGCCTAGCCGCTTCGCGGCACGTGGGATCTTCCCGGACCGGGGCACGAACCCGCGTCCCCTGCATCGGCAGGCGGACTCTCAACCACTGCGCCACCAGGGAAGCCCTGTGGCATGTTTTTAAAGAAACTGAGTTCTGTGACATTCTACTACTTTTAGCTTCTAGAACAATGTTTCTCAAGTTGGATTTTTGTACGGACACTTCTCTGGATGCTGGGAGAAGTGTTAGTATAAGACCACCTGGGAGCTTGTTCCCATGCAGAGTCCCAGGCCCTACTGAAATGGAATTTCTGGGCTAGCCTCTGGGAAACTGAGTTTTTCCAGGTGGTTCTTATGGATACAGAGGCTAAGCACTGCCCTGTGATTCTGAACCCAGGCTGTATATTAGATTCACCTGGGAGGTTTTAAGTACTGAAAAATTCTAATGCCCAGGCCCTTCACAAGACCAATTAACTCCAAGTCTCTGGAGGCTGAGACCTGAGCTTGGAAAGCTTTTAAAGCTCTCCAGGTGATTCCAATGTGCATGTAAGGACCCAAACCCACTGGTCTTGGGCAGTGGTTCACAGATGAGTTTTTCATCAGAGTCAGGTGGAGGGCTTGTAAACAGTGCTGGGCCCCACCTCTTGAGCTGTGAAATCAGGAGCTTTGGGTGGGACTTGAGAATTTATATTTCTCACGAGTTCCCAGGTGGTGCTTCTGCTCTGGGGAGCACAGGGGACTAGGCTTTGGGAATTACTCTAGAATGCTTTAGAATGAAGCCTTCAACCCCCAGGAGACACAGCCTCCTGGATAAAGGAGCAGGATGACACAGGCTCTGTCCCCCAACCCTCAGCTTCCTGCTTCCCAGGCCCCAGCCCAGCTGATGTGGTCCAGGGAGAGGGGAATGCAGCCACCCTTGTGTGGGGGGACAAGTCAGTAAAACTCACCTCCCAGTAGATTGCATCCTCAAAGCAGTTCTCATCAGCGGCTTGTCCCCAGAATGGCAATTTCAAAATGACCCCTAAAGGAAGTTGGAGGTCAGGGATAACTTCTTCTCTACCTACCCAGCCCTTTCCCTTGACGGAAAAATCCCCTCAGTCTCACCGCTGTAAGTGCAGAGACAAAGGGTTTCTGGGAGCCTCAGCTGACCTCTGGCACACACTCTTAGGTCCCCCAACCACAGGACCCACCTTCTCTGGCCCAGCCAGTCCCACTCACCTACGATGATGCCGCCCACCAGGGCCATGGCCAGCGACACAAAGAGACCAGCAGCCTGGAACTTGCCCTGTGTGCTTGCGTTCCAGCTCAGTGTGGAACTTCCAAAGCCAAAGGCAAAGGCAAGCCTGGGGTGGAAACAGGGGGCAGGTCAGGGCCCCACGGAGAGGCCAAGTCACCGCCTGCTGCCACCCCACACACGAGTGGACACCAAGGCTCAATAACCCCTGGGCCTCAGCCTTCCTGTCTACAAAATGGGGGCACTGGAAAGATCAGATGATCTCTAAGATCCTTATGGAAGGACAGAGGTTGAGGAGAGAAGGCCCATGAAATAGTGGTCCAGACTGGGCAAGAAAGGGGATAGAGACACAGTCTTGGACCCGAAAGGAACAGTAGGAAGGAGGAATGGAGAAGGAAGGAGGGAGCTCAACCTCCCTCTGCCTCCTCCATTCTTACCCTTCCTGCCCATACAGCTCAGTGTTGGCAGAGGCTGCCGTCACAGCACCCACAATGCCACCTATGATGCCGGGCATGCCATGCAGGTTGTGAATGCCACACGTGTCCTGGATCCGCAGCCGGGACTCCAGGAATGGCTGGAAAGGGGAGATAGGTGCTGCTCAGGCAGGGGGCTGTGGCACGATGTGGGGAGGCCAGGATTCTGGAGGCTCCAAATACAGAGAGACCCCGGATTCCCCAGTCCCCCACCCACTCCCTAGGGACCGCCCCCCACTGTCAGGAACACAGAGACCCCAGCATTCTCCAGCCCCCAGCCCCTGGCCTGGGGCCCTCACCGTCAGGTACACAAAACCCAGCGTGGAGATGATGCCGCAGATGAAGCCGATGATGAGGGAGCCGTAAGGCATGAGCATCATCTCGGCGGCGGTGCCCACGGCCACCCCTCCCGCGAGCGTGGCGTTCTGGATGTGCACCTGAGCAGGGCAGGCAGAGCGGGCAGGAACTCAGTCCTCATCCAGAGTAGCGTCCTGGAGGAGCTGACCGATAGCCCAAGTTGACCTCCTATGCGTGGGTGCCACCTGGGAGCCAGGGATGGCTCAGAGTGCATCTCAGCAAGCCAGGAAACTGCGGAGGGCTCCAGCCTGGGCCCAGGCTTCAGACAGCCACCCCTGTGTTCTCTGCACATGTGCCACCCACACCAGCGCTCTGGGCTTTTTCCGTGTGCACAAATCAGTGTTCTTGTGTCCATGCCAATGAGTTCCATCAGCACATCTGCATGTTCCCTTTTTATCTGGCTGCCACACATCCCTGTGTGCCCAGGTTTGCATGTCTGATGTTCTCTACGTGTCCGTGTGCCAACGTCAGGCACCTCTGGGGCCTATTCATTCACACGCACCCATGTCAGACTCTGTGAGCCTACACCAGCACCAGCTGACTCTCTGAGCGCCTACCTGCGCCATGGACTGTGTCGCTGGCTTGTGGGGATGTTGTTTCCTCTCCACAACAAGCCCAGGAGGTAAGTACAGTTATCTTTTGACGTTTACAGATGAGGAAATTGAGGCACAGGGAGGTTAATGGACTTGCTGAAGACCACACAGCTAGCAAGGGGCAGAAAGGTGTCTTGATCCAGGTCTTCGTGGAGCCACAGCCCCTGACCTTGACCCTATTCCATGTCCCTCCCTGCATGTGCCCACGTCAGCGTGTCTGATTCTCTTCCCCCTGCTTCCTGAGTCCCCACCTCTCTGTGCAGTGATCGGCCAGTGCATCCAGGGGCTCGAGGCTGTGTCCCGGAATAACGGGTACTCCTGGCAGTGTCTCGACACACATGTGCCCATGTCTAGAAGCTAGTGTCAGAATGGCAAATAGAGAGGCGGTTGTCTTTTTACAGAAAAATCTACCAACACCCATGGGGTTTGGCCCCTCCCGCTAATGACAGAAACACATGTCCCAGTGGCGTGATATGAAGGACACTGGGCAACATCACATTCCCACAAACCTCCCAAATGCATCGAAGGGATACCCCCCTTTGGTGTGTGGGATAGGGCAGGTGAAAGCAGTGCTAGGAAGGCTGAGGGCCAGTGTCTGGGGGATCAGAAGTTGGCAGAGGAGAGGTGCTCAGTCCAGAAGAGCTGTCAGCACCCAGGCTGTGGGGAGGAGAATGAGAGGAGCCAGTTCATCCAGAGCAGCCGGCATAATAGAACCTCTAAGAACGTGGTTCTGGACTCTGCCTAAAGCCAGCTATGTCATCTGGACAAATCATTTCTCCCGGAGCCTCCGTTTCTTCATCTGCAAGATGGGTGCGATAACCCTTATGCTGCCTGCTTCACAGCGCTGTCGGCGGGGCATGGTGATCAGTGCCCACTGGGCACAGGCAGTCGTGGCCACAGCTCCCCCCAAGGCTCCCCACTGCTCCCCCGCCCCACGCTCACCATATCCAGCTTGCCCTTCTTATGCAGGACGCTGGACAGCGCCACCGCAGTGAGCACACAGGCTGCCAAGGAGCAGTAGGTGTTGATGACAGCTCGGTGCTGGGCGTCTCCGTGATTGGACACAGCTGAGTTGAAGCTGGGCCAGTACATCCACAGGAAGAGGGTGCCTGGCCAGACCAGACAGGGCCGGTGGGCCCGGGAGAAGAGGTGTTAGATGGGCCCAACGGAGCTCAGGCAGACATCCTGTCCTTTAGCTACAGAGATGTCAGATGACTCACACACCCCAGCTATTTCCCACCCCTGCAGCTTTATTCATGCTGGGATCTTCTTGGAAGGCCGTCCCTGCCTTACTTACTACCTAACTCCCACTAAGCCTTCCACTCTGCTCCAGGAAGTCTACCTTGACCCCATAACTGGGCAAAATGCCTCCCACAGCACCTTGAGGGAGAATCCTTTTCTCCACTGTAGGGAGATTATCTGGTGGCATGGCCATCTCTCTACTACACTGTGAGGCGCTCCTTGGAGGCAGGGCTGGGTTTTAAGAGACCAGAGAGGGTGGCTGATACGTATTCTCTGGAATGAATGGACACTGGAAATAGGAATGTACACCTTGCCTAGCCTAGGGATGGAGTGAACAGTTCCTGGTTACCACTGTGTCTGCCCTGGGACATCCTAGGGAACACACAGGATGACTGACCAACTTCTTCCAGCCCCATGGGGGAAAAGGACAAGTATCTGGGATCCTGGAAGTATCTATAGGCGACCTCTGTCTGCACTTCCTCCAAAGGGAGCTGGCAGCCACCTCACAGAGCGCATGGGGATCAGCTGTGAACATGGCAGCCTGAACTGCTTATGGTGACCTTCACCCGTCACAGTGGTCCTCACCCGACGTGGCAGCCCTCAGTCATCAAGGCGGCCCTCAATCATTATGGAAGCTCTCACCGATCATGGCAAAGAGGTCCGAGTGGTACACAGAGCTTGGCCTGTCCTTGCTCTGATATAGGTTGGGTCGGTAGAGGATCCAGGTCACTGTGAGCCCAAAGTAGGCGCCGAATGTGTGGATGGTCATGGAGCCCCCTGCATCCTTCACCTGGGGTACAAGGGGCCTGTAAGACTCTGACACCTCCTCTCTCTCCCTCCTCAGAGCACTCTCCCACCTCCCCCTACCCACAGACAGAAGTTCAGCTGTCTTTTGACTCCACAGGCTACAGGAGGGAGCCTAGGGCCCCTTATAGACCAATCAACTGGGAAGGGGAGAAAGTGGGGATCCCCTGTACAGCTATACTTCAATAAAAAAATAAAGAGGGGGATCCATGAACCCAGGCTGTAAGCCTGTCAGCAAAATGCCAGGGCATCCTCACCCAACAGATGAGGTTTATGGCCAGATGGGGAACCCAGGCCTGGAAAGGACTTGCTCGGTCACACAGCTGGAAGAGGTAAAGCCAAGCTAGGACCCAGGGCAGCGCCCTATCTGGTCTGTCACCCACTAGTTTCCAGCTTATCTTAATTCCTGGGACCTCGCCGCTGCCCTCTGGGGTCTCCCCTCTCCACATTTCTTCCTACACACCACTCCTGGTCCAACACCACCCCATCCGGACTGCCATTACCCGTCTCCCCTGCATCCTATCATGCTCCTTGTCCTCCAACCTCCCAGCCCACCGTCCACCCCATCCCCTCTCCTCTCCCCTGTCCCCCAGAGTCAGAGCAGGCAGATTTGGTGCCCTCCCCATCTGTCCATTCCTGGGCCTCCTGCCCTACCCGACTCAGCCCACTGCACCTCTGGACCTTAAGTCTCAAGTTCCTCCTTTACAAAGTGGGGCAGGTCCTAGTGACTTAGCAGAGCTGTCTTGAGGATGAAACTAGACAACTGGTGTAAAGCACTTGGCAAGCATGTGGCACTCCACAGGGGTGGATGATTGACTGATTTAGTCTTCCTCCCTGCCCCCAACCTCCCCTCTCTTCATCTTCCTCTTCTTCCCCACTCAGGAAATCTCCATCAGGATCACAGACTCGCTTCTTCGCTTTAGATGGGAAACCCAACCTTGTGTCCAAGGTCACAGAGCTAGCTGTTGAATAGTTGACAGAGCTGAGTTTCCTGACTCCCAGCCTGGTGGGTACCTCTACTAGCTATGTGACCTTTGGGGAGCCCCTTACCCTCTCTGAGTCTCAGTCTTCTCATCTGTAACATGGGGGTAATAATTGTGTCTATCTCAGAGATGAGAATTAAATGAGATAACCCACGTGAAGCATTCAGAGCAGGGCCCAGGCAAGGGCAAGTGCTCCTTAACTGTCAGCAGTCATTATTGTGTTTAAACTTGGCTCAAAGAGAGGCCAGAAGACTGTCATGGATTGAAAGAATTTCTGCAGCAGATCAGGGAGGGGTTTTGAGGGCGAAAGGAGCCTTCTCTGCCTCTAAATTCACACCCAGGATACTACTTCTCAGCCAATTTCAGATCTCATCTGTTGACCCCACTGTGTACCCCCTCACCTAGCCTCACTTCTTTCTCTCTACCCACCCCAACCGGTCTCCAAGGTCTATTTGTTCACCTTCCTTATAACTCTTATATCATCCACTTTCTTCTCCTTGTACTAACCCAGTCCCATTATCTCTCACCAGGGTGACTAAAACAGCCTCCTAACTGGACCCTTTGCCTCCAACTGTTCTCTTCACCACAGCCAAAGTGACATTTCCATTACATGTGTCTGACCATGTCACTCCCCTGCCTGAAACCTTCCATAACTCCCGACTGCCCTCATGATAAAGTGGAGACTCTTTGGGACTTCCCTGGTGGTCCAGTGGTTAAGACTCTGCACTTCCAATGCAGGGGACTCGGGTTCGATCCCTGGTTGGGGAACTAAGATCTCACATGCCGCATGGTGCAGGCAAAAACAAACAAACAAAAAAATAAAGTTGAGACTCTTTAACACAGCCTCTGAAAGTCTGAAGATCCATGTTCGTCTCCCTACCCCGTTTCCTCTGCCTCAAATGCCTTTGCTCATTCCTTTGCCTGGTTATCTCCTACTTGACTTCTAGCTTTGATATCTCTTCCTCCAGGAAGCCTCTCTGACCTGCCAGGTGCTGGTTCAGGCCTTCCTCCCCTCCCTCCAGGCCACCTAGCCCTGGAGCTCAATCCTGTCTCACTGCATGGTCACTGTCTATTTGCTTCCTGGCCCCCTCACTAGACTGTGAGCTCCTTCGGATCGTAACATGAGTCCTGCTCACCTCTGTATCCTAGTGCCTGGAGCATTGCCTGACATGCAGTTAGACTCCAAAATTCATTCCCTCGACAAATATTTCTTGAGAACTTATTAGGCATTGGGCCAGGTGCCAGGAATAGAGACTGTCCAGATAAGATAAGGTTTCCCATCCTTATCATATAAGGATACATGCTATGAAGAAGATAAATTAAGGCAATGAGAGAGAGAGTGACTGGGAAGAGGTAAGGTAGAAGGCAACACTGGGTAGGAGAATCTGGGAGGGCCTCTCTGAATAGGTGAGATTCCAGTTTAGACCACAAAAAAGGACTGGGGTGGGGGGATGAGCATTCCAGGTAAAGGGAACAGCAAGTACAAAGGCCCTGAGGTAGAACCAAGCTTGGTGTGTTTGAAGAGCAGACAGCAGGGTATGGCCAGAGCACAGAAAGATGGGGAGACAGTAGATGATAAGCTTGGAGAAAAGGCTGGGACCAGAACATGTAGGGCCTTATAACAAGTTTGGATTTTATTTGAAGTGAAATTTTAAAAACCAGTGTTTTAATCCGGGGAATGGTCTTATATGCATTATTAACAGGTCACCATGGCTGCTGGTGGAGATTAGCCTGAGGTGGTGGGTGCGGCAAGGATGAAGCCAGCAAGGGACTTACTTCCCTGGCCATCCAGTAGTTAAAACTCTGCGCCTCCACTGCAGGGGGCGTGGGTTCAATCCCTGGTAGGGGAACTAAGGTCCCACATGCCTGGCGCAGCCAAAAAAATAAATAAATAAAAGGATGAAGACAGGGAGATGAGTCAGGAGGAAGGGATATGGTGGCTTGGACTAGTCTGGTGGCTGAAAAAAAATGACAAAATGAATGATTGAATGTAGGGTGGCCTGAAAACAAAAACCCTGGCAGTGGGACTTCCCTGGTGGTCCAGTGGTTAAGACTCTGTGCTTCCACTGCAGGGGGCATGGGTTCGATCCCTGGTTGGGGAACTAAAATCCTGTGTGCACAGCATGGCCGAAAAAAAACGAAAAGAAAAAGAATGGAAAGCATGTGCTCACAATAGTGGAACAAAAAAGATTAGGGTCCTGGATCCCAGATGATACTGAGGAACCACTATACAAGCCCTGATCTCCCTGCTTCTGAGAAATAAACTTTTGTATTAAAAAACAAAAAACCCCCCAAAATCCTGGGGGTTTTCAGGCAGAGTCCAAATATAGAGGAGCTGGGGGCTAAGAAATGGATGGGGTCCCTGAATAATCCCTACACCTGCAAATATACCAAAGAGGTGTCTGAGCAAGAGTCAGCAGCCTAAGGTGCCCCTTACCTGGGCCAGTGAATTGGCCAACTCCAGGGGGCATCATTCCTGCCATAGAGGTCCATGTGAATGGCACCTCTGGAGTTGTGCAACCTGTGAAGCTATACATATCCACCTTGGCCACTCCCCTGGAAACTTTTCTTACTGATGTGCCCCTTCAATATACTGTGCCTTTTTCTTGGCAGAGCAATCTGGGAATATGTGTGTGGAAGAGGATGTGCAGGAACATCCCATTCTTTCCATCTGATATACAGGAAAGAGAAAGAAGAGAGAAAATCAACATGTGAGGAACCACTTCTCTGCCTAGCTGGTGGACTGATGTACCAGGTGGACTATCATTCCTGCCCAATAAATGTCATTACTCCCGCTTTACAGATGAGGAAACTGAGATTCAGAAGGTTAAGTGACTTGCCAAGCTTGAATTGAATTCAGCTGGCATGTCTCCCCAGCTCTCTCTTTCTCTGTCCCCCTCCTGCCGCCACCCAAGTGTCCCTTCCACCCCCATCCCTGTTCTGACCCCTGCTCACCTCTAGCAGGCTGAGGAGAATGAACTCATTCACTGAGAAGAGGGTCACTTGGAAGAGAGTCATGATGAGTAGCTGGACAGGGCTGACTTTGCCCAGAACTGCCCCAAAGGCGACACAGACAGAGCCCACACAGAAGTCCGCATTGATGAGGCTGTGGGGAGACAGGTCAGGGGAGGGGCTGAGGCCACAGCAAGAAGTGGCACTCCAAGCCCTGGGGTTGAACCTAGACTTTGGTCACTTGTGGGTTTGGGCTTGCGGTCTAAACTTTCTGAGCCTCAGTTTCATCATCTGTGGTAATGGGCACATAGCATCTTAGAGCTACTCTAAGAATTGAAAGAGGGCTTCCCTGGTGGCGCAGTGGTTGAGAGTCCACCTGCCGATGCAGGGGCCCCGGTCCGGGAAGATCCCACATGCCATGGAGTGGCTGGGCCCGTGAGCCATGGCCGCTGAGCCTGCGCATCTGGAGCCTGTGCTCCGCAACGGGAGAGGCCACAACAGTGAGAGGCCCACGTACAGCAAAAAAAAAAAAAGAATTGAAAGAAATAGCATGTGAAGTATCCAGCACAGCAGTGGTACATACTAGATGCCACACGCTTCCTTTGCGGCCCCATCTCAGGCCCCCACGCCTCCTTGCAGGCAGCTTGCGTTTAAGGCATCCAAGTGGTCTGGCTGCTGTTGTTGAATGTGGCCCATATTTGGGGCCTTGCCCTGCCCTCCGTCTTCTACCTGCCCTTCCAGAACCTCTTCTCACCTGCCTCCTCTTCAGGAAGCCTTCCCCAATTCCTCTAACCAGATGTGGTCTCTGCCTCCGAATCCTTATCTCTCACTGTGCACACACCTCTCCTGCTGGCTACCAGGGCCTTGCTTGGGTTTGAGTTATCGTGACCTCCTCCTCACCTTACTTGGGAGAGAGGATATGTGTCCAGGGAAGAGAGAGGGGCCTTCCTGCAGGCAGTAGGGAGCCGGAGGCTGGGTGGAGGGAGGGGGCAGAAAGGCCAACAGAGAGAATGGAGGCAGAGGGGCACATAGGCGCTCCTTAAGTGTGAACCCTGAAAGCCCAGCCAGCCAGCAGAGGTGGACATCATGTGGTCAGAGGAGACCCTGTTTCCATCCGTGTGTCCGCTTTGCCTAACCCAGGCCTCTGTGGGCCCTGCCAGCAGCAACGCTGTCCTGGATTCCAAGGCAGACTCTCAGCGTGGCTCTCCGAGTCATGAGCGTTGTTAATTGGGGTTCGTGTAAGAGCGTTGTTAATTGGGGTTCGTGTAAGTACAGCAGGGGCTACTACTTCCTTAAGGCAGTCACATCCAGGGGAGTGCCCCTCTCCCACGTTCAGGTGTGTGTGTGTGTGTGTGTGTGTGTGTGTGTGTGTGTGTGTGTGTGTGTGTGAATCAGGAGGTGAGAAGTAAGAAGCCAGCTGATTGTAGGGTCAGTGCGTGGAGTGGGGGCAGGGCACTGTTCCCTCAGGGTCCCTCCCCAGACAAAGGATGTTCACTGGAATGTACGCTTCACTATGAGCCTTGTTCACTGCTGAGTCCCCAGGGCCTGGCTGCATGAACAATGACAGCTGCTAAGTGCCAGGCACCTAAATGCCTGCTCACTACTGCTCAGGCCCTCCTGTACCACATCTGAACCAATGATGGGAAATGGAGGCTTAGAGAGGCCGAGTTATTTGCCCCAATTCCCATAACTGCAGCCAGAAGACCATCTGACAGAGGTGACCACTAGGAAGGAGTGAGAGGGAGAGTACCAAAGCCCACACCTGGGCCATCAGCTCCCAGGAGATGGAGATCTGGATTTCACCTCTCAGGCAGAGCCTGCAGAGGGGAACTACCCTGGAGTGACAGGTACGATCTGGAGGACTCGGCAGCAGGGACAGGACAGAAGCCAGGAGAAGGGTCCACAGGTCAGGTCTGGGGGCGACATGCTCATCTCAGCCCTGGGCACCAGAGATCAGCTCTGGCTCAGTTGGTGAAAATCATTTCCCTGAAAACCAATTTGCCAAAACTCAAGTTGTCAAATGACTAACTTGTTAAATAACTGGTTCAAAAAACTTAACTCACAAAAGTTTACAATAATTCCCTTTGAACATTTTAAAAAGCATTTAGCCATAGCTATTTTGCTGTGGTGGCCAATTAAATATATTACAGATATTTTTTATGCTTTGGGTCTATGGCTTTGGGAATGAGAATTTCTTGTGTATCTTAAACAGTAGAGTGATATGCATGTCACGGATTTTATATACAAAAAGACTGACTTCTTGGTTCCGAAACATTTTCTATCTAGTCGACTATTTTTCCTGTTTCTCTTAATTCATGGAGTCACTAACTGGCTTAAGTGAATTAATATTTTGCAAATATTTGGCATATGTTTAAAATTTCAGGCACCTGGCTTATGATACCTGGTTGGTGCCCTATATGTGACAGCAGGGATTTGCACTTTAAACGTGGTTTATAACAATTTGCCTCTAAACCCTTTCTGTGAACTTGGTTTTCTGATTTTCTCCCATGCAACACAAATTGCTATAGGTTTCACAAGTTGCCATGGCCTAGAGAGTTTGATAAATGAGACATTCAGTGAAGTGACTGCTTGGCAACTTGGTTTTTGGCAAGTTGGCAAATTTATTGTATAACCTGGTGGTGGTGTTGGGGGGAGGGATACACTGAGGCTCCTAGGAGGTCTCCTCAGACAGAGGGAGGAGCTGAGTTATCTGATGTGAGGGGGTGGTGGTATTCACCAGACCAAGAGATTATCACAGAGAAAAGTGATGTGGATAGAGGTGAGAAGAGATGGGGATAAGGTGCCCCCTGGAGGCTGAGGCAGGGAGGGGCTTCAGTCTTCGGTCTCCACACCTGCTTCAGCTCTTTCCTATGCCTGTTCCGTGGGTGGGGATACGGGCAAGTCAGGGAGAGGGCAAGGCAGGGAGAAGCACCCCATTCCGTCCACAATGAACCTTAGGAGGCTTGTTCAGGCAGCCCTACACTCCTTCCCCTCCTCTGCCACCCGCAACACCGCCCCCTCCATGGGTTCCATGGGCTGAGGTTTCTCAGGGCAATTTTGATGTTTGATGTGTCAAAGGGGAGGGTCTGGCTCTGGCCCCTGGAGAGAAGAAGCCTGGCCTTGTGTCCCTGCAGCCTGCGTCTTAGGAGGAGGGAAAGCCTCCAACAGCACTTGGACACCATTAGAACTCCCACCTTGGGGACTCGTTGATCAGGAAGTGAGTGAGCGAGCGTGTGTGGTGTATGTCGCAGGGCCCCGGGTACCCTGGATGGACGATGAGGACCCAGCTCACAGCCCCAAGCGCCGGGCTCCGCCCCTGGACCCTCCCCTCACCCGGGGCCCCGCCCACTGTGCCCGCCCCGCCGCCGGCGCCGCCCTTACTTCTCCACGCCCAAGAGAATGTAGCGTCCGTCAAAGGAGTGGAACCATCCCTGCATGAGCAGCGCCCACTGGATGCCGAAGGCCGCCAGCAGGAAGTTGAAGCCCACGGCGCTGTAGCCGTAGCGCTGCAGGAAGGTCATGAGGAAGCCGAAGCCCACGAAGATCATCACGTGCACGTCCTGGAAGCCTGCGGGGAAAGCGCAGCCGAGGGTCTTGGCGGCCCGGCGAAGGCCCACCGTAGCCTTGGGTCTGGGCCAGCTCCGCCCGACATAGAGCCTGTGTCTTCCCTGCCGCTGGCCGGGGCGGGCCGCCCCCGAAGCCGGTCCCGCCATGCCCGCATCTGGATCCTGAGGCTAGGCGCAGTAATGAATGGCTCTACTGCAAGTAGAGGAGCCATTACTACCCCCATCAAGTCATAATATACAAACTACTATGTATAAAACATATAAACAAGGTCCTACTGTATAGCAAAGGGAACTATTCAATAGTTCTATTCAATATATTGAACAGAAACTATTGAAACTATATTGAAACTATTCAATATATTCAATAGCCTGTAATAAACCGTAAAGGAAAGAATATGAAAAAGAATGGACTTCCCTGGTGGTGCAGTGGTTAAGAATCCACCTGCCAATGCAGGGGACATGGGTTCAGTCCCTGATCCAGGAAGATCCCACATGCTTGTGGCAACTAAGCCTGTGAGCCACAAGTATTGAGCCTGCACGCCACAACTATTGAGCCCACGTGGTGCAACTATTGAAGCCCGCGTGCCTAGAGCCCGTGCTCTGCACCACCACAATGAGAAGCCCAAGCACCGCAATGAAGAGTAGCCCCTACTCTACACAACTAGAGAAAGCCTGAGTGCAGCAACAAAGACCCAACGCAGCCATAAATAAATAAATAAACTTATTTTTAAAAAATATATTAAAAAAAAGAAAAAATATATTTATATATATGTATAACTGAATCACTTTGCTGTACACCAGAAACTAACCTAACATTGTAAATCGACTATACTTCAATTTAAAAAAAAAAGGCCTTCTGGAATGGACTGGTCTAGGGGAACAGAGGTGGGCCCCCCGACTTTAGACCACTTAGACCACTGGGTTTTAAGGCCAAGAAATGCCTGAGGTCCCCCTCGGGAGATGACAGCTCCCCCTCACCACTCTCACCAAGGGTGGGTGTGGGCAGCTAGGCATTTCAAACTGGGGCCAGGCTGTGGATTACACCCAGGGTCTAGGGCCTTGCCCCCTCAACTCCATTCTTCTACTATGGAGAAGTTAGTCTTATCTAGCCTAGGAGTCCCTTGACTGGCCATGCTTATCAGTTGATCACCCCCAGAAACATCGCCACATCCCACCCCCACTCCCAGCAAGCACACCTTCCAGCATCACTGAGACCTGAATTAGATGTCTCTGGAAAGTCACTTAACATACTTGATTCTCAGCACCTTCTGCAATGCTTACTCACAGACGGTGCAGAGATTAAATGCAGATGTGTATGTAAAGCACCTAGCACAGTGTCTATCCCATAATAGATGCTCCAAATGGGCATGTCATTATTTATTGCTACTTGATTATCATTTATTGTTACTTAGGTATAGTCTAATTCTCAGTTCTGACCCAACCCTTCTACCAATTCACAGTGTGGCCTCAACAAGCTACTTCCAGGACTTCCTGGGCGATCCAGTGGTTAAGACTTTGCGCTTCCACTGCAGGGGGCATGGGTTCGATCCCTGGTCAGGGAACTAAGATCCCGCATGGTGCAGCAAAAAAGAAAGGAAGGAAGGAAGGAATAAGGGAAGGGAGAAAGAAAGAAAGGAAGGGAGAAAGAAAGAAAAGACAAGCCACTTCCCCTCTCAGAGCCTCAGTTTTCTCAATGATAAAACTAAAGGGATGGATTAGAATGATCTCAAGTGTCCTCCTAGGGCTAACATTGCATGGTTCTAGATTCCCAGAAAATAACAGAAGGCAAAGAGCTTTGAGAAGCAAAGACAGCTACAAAAGTATAAGCCACTAAAAGGAACTACCACAGGTGTCACAGGACACAGGGGCCAGATGGAAGCGCTCTCATTGGCCAATTCTGGGACAATTTGAGCACCAAAATAATTAGGTTACCATAACAAATTAAAACCATAAAAAAATAGGAACTCAGAATAGGTAAATATATAAATGAGATAGCAGGGAGGGCTCTTGCTTACAGCAGAATGCTGCCAGCCTGACAGTTAAATGTGGAATGAGCGCTGAAGTTGGAAAATCATAATTTTCACAGCAAAGATTCCATCAGTGGATGCTGAAATCCAGGGACAAATTTTTATGAAGAGCAGGACATTTGCCTTGTCTTAAAATGGTCTCCCTATAGACTGCTTATGAGTTGCAAGGGAGGGGAAAAAGCACCCAGTAATTATACGGCAGAGAAATTGGGCAACATCTTGACTGGGTGATCAAAATGAACATCACCAGTGAGGGACAGATGGACAATGTGCTCCTTTAGGGAGATACTCTGAAAAGGACATATCCCCTCTGTGGTGCTCTGGCTGAGAATGCATAATCCCACTCTAACCGTGAGGAAACATCAGACAAAAAATGAGCAACATGTTATTAGAAAGGGGTGAGACTGTATTCTTGAAAAAAATCAATATCGTAAAAGATAAAGAAAGGCTGCCCATTTTGAGCATCTATTATGGGACAGACCCTGTGCTAGGTGCTTTACATGCACAGGAATGGTCCAGATTAAAGTGGCTAAAGAGGGAGAGGGAAGGGTAAGCTGGGACGAAGTGAGAGAGTAGCATTGCCATATATACACTACCAAATGCAAAATAGATAGCTAGTGGGAAGCAGCTGCATAGCACAGGGAGACCAGCTCGGTGTTTTGAGACCACCTAGAGGGGTGGGATAGGGAGGGTGGGAGGGAGGCACAAGAGGGAGGGGATACGGGGATATATGTATACGTATAGCTGATTCACTTTGTTATTCAGCAAAAACTAACACAACATTGTAAAGCAATTATACTCCAATAAAGATGTTAAAAAAAAGAAAAAGAGGCTAAAGAGACAGGTCAAATAAATTCAACACCTAACACTAGACTGGATCCTGGACTTGGCTGGGGTGGGGGGTGGGTGCAGGTGCAGGGGAGTGCTACAAAGGTTGTTACTGCGCCAACTGACAAAATTATATAGGGACAGTATATTAAAGTACTGTGCAATGTAAATTTATGAAATTGATCACTGTGGTTATAGAAGAGAATACCTCTATTCTTAGGAAACATTGTGGAGTACTTAAGGCTACAAGACCATGATGTGTACAACTGACTCTCAAGTAGTTCAGGGAAAAAGTAAGTGTGTGTATGTGCTTGTGTTTATGTGGGAAAAGAGAGAGAGAGAGAGAGAGAGAAGAGCAGATAGCTTAATCGGAGTTAAAGAGTATACAGTGTACTATTTTTGTCTTAGCAACTTTTTGTAAATTTGGAATGATTTCCAAATTAAAACATTTTTTGAATAAAAGTGAACTGCAGAGCCCACCAGACCTGGCCTACCCGCCTGCCTCCTCATTCTTCCTTTCCTCAGTCCTCCCCTCCCTCCTGTGCCCCGGCGTCACTGGCCTCCCTTGTGCTCGGTCCCACTCCGGGTCTTTGCCCGTGGTGGTCCCTCCACCTGGGATGCTGTTCCCACAGAATGGCCAAGCAACTTCTCTTCCTGCAGATCTTGGCAAAATGTCACCTCATCACAGAGGCCTTCCTGACCCCTGAGTTTAAACTTGGTTCTTTCCCTCACAGCACCCTCTTGTTTCTATTCTAGTTCTTATTACAATTTGTAGTTAGGTTTGTTTGTCTAGCCCTCCAGACTATAAAGCTCAAAGAAGGCAAGGCCAAGCCTGTTTTGTTCACTCTGGTATTCTCCATTGTCTATGAGAGTGCCCAGGTAGATGTCCCATAAAAATCCAGGAATGAATGAATGAATGAATGAATGGTTACTGTCATGATCTCAGCAGCACCCAGATATGCCAGCCTAGGGCCCAGGTGGGATTTCACCATCAGGGGAGGCTGCAGGCCTTCTACCGTCCAAAGTCTCCTACCCACTGGGCGGATAGGCCCTGGTGCCCACAGCAGCCTGGCGATGCTTACGCTTGCCAGCCCCCATCTGCCCTCATCTGTCTCCCCTGCAGGCTTCCCTGAGGCCCAGGCCACAGCCATAGACCCCTTGGCTAGCAGCTACCTGGACGAGGCTGAGAGAGGAGGCCCTGGCACATTGCTGGGTAAGGGTTGAGGGCATAGCAGATGATGCAAGAGAGCTGTGGGTGTCGCCCCAGTATGGTGCTCTGAGCTTTGCGCTTCTTGCGCAGACCTACACAAACAAACAGCAGCTCAGCTTAGGTTCACAATGTGTGCAGCTGATTTCATGTATTATCATGTTTCATGGTTTATCACGTTTCTAACTGTTGTGGAGGAAGCTGAGCTAATGTATGTGAAGCACCATACACGGTGTTATGGTTATTCTTGGGAAGAACTGATGGGTGACAGACTGGAAAGAGAGGGAGAAGACACATTCAGACCACAATTACAAAAGCAGGGAGGGGACGTGGCAGGAGGGCAGAGCTGTGGGTAAACACAAGGAAGGAGGAGGAGGTTGCCGGGGTGGGAGGGAGGTGCTGGGACTAACGCTGGTTGTGGGAGTCTGAGATGACCCCAGGGGTGGTGGTGAGTGTCTGGGCAGGGTAATGTGGGAGGAATGGATCCTGGCCTTGGGGCTTGGAGCTGGGGTCTGAGATCAGGCAGACCTGCAGACAGAGCTGGCAGCTGGAATGTGGGAATGGTGAGTGGGAGCCAGAAGCCGAGGATCTGCTAGCTTGCCTTGAAGCTAACAGACCAGACAGGGAAGCTGCTGGCAAGGAGGTGGGGGGAACCCCTGGAAAAAGGTAGCATCACAGAAGGTGGGGGCCATTCAAGGAGCGGGGTGTCAGCTGTTTGGTGGCAGAGGAAGCATGCGGGCAGGGGCAGGGCTGAAGAGTACTGGAGGCGGCCTTCCTGGGGGGTGATGTGCAGTTTCAGGGCTGCCTTCGTTCTCCCTGTGGAGCAGAAGAGAGGCCTCAGCTTCCCAGGGCTTCTCCCTAACTGTCCCCACCTGGCCAGTTCTCTGTCCTTCTCTGTGACTCCCTGGCTGTCCTGACCTCTGTCTCTGACCCTCTCTGCAGGTGTCTCTTTCTCCTCCCCCCACCTCAGGCACACAGATGCCAGCTTCTCTCTCCTTGGGCACCTTCCCTATCCATTCTCTTGCTCATCTCTCTTTATCTCCCAAAGTCCTCATTAGAAGTACTACTTTATTAACTTATATTTCATAAAGTTTGATGCTACTGAAAATGCTTTTAATAATAATGGTCTGGGGACTTCCCGGGAGGTCCAGTGGTTAAGACTTTGCCTTCCAATGCAGGGGGTGTGGGTTCGATCCCTGGTTGGGGAGCTAAGATTCCATATGCCTTGTGGCCAAAAAAATCAAAACATAAAACAGAAGCAATATTGTAACAAATTCAATAAAGACTTTAAAAATGGTCCACATCAAAAAAAAAAAAATAGTGTGAAGGTCTGGAGTGCATGAACTTCAGAAGGGACATACCTCTCTGATCTGCAGTTTCTTTTTCTGTAAAGTGGGGGATAGTAACAGAGCTCAGAGGTGTGTGGTGCACATTTAATTGGTCATCCAACCAAAGCCCTGGGCATAGGCCTGGCCCTTTAGCCGTTGTGCAATCATATTAGCTACTGTAATACTTCTCTTTTTCTCTTTCAAGACTGACTAGGTGCTTTGCATTGCGTTGGCGACTTGCTGGAGGACAGTGTAAGTTGTTAAGACACCTCCCCTCTTCCCCCTCCTTCCCCAGCCTGGAGTGACTCAAGCAGCCCAGCCCAGAACCTGCTCTCCACTGGGAGGTCCCTGATAGGGCGAGTCTGGCACCTGGCGTCCAGCTCTGAGAGCTGCCACAAGGGGGCATCAGTACACAGCTGTTCTGCACCCGCTTCCTTGCTCACTCTTCCCTATGGGTCCCTAATGAAGCTGGCCTGAAGCTGGCCAAGTCTCAAAAATCTCTGAAGCCTGAGGACAAATCTTCCCATGCTGACGGGCTATGGCAGCGCTCCCTCCTCTGCTGCCTCAGCACAGCAGGAGTGGTGCCCTGCAGCAGCCTGGGTACCAGCCCTTCCCATGCTCTATAGGCCAGCCCAGCCTAACCTGTTGCCTTTGAAACCTACCGGCCAGCCCCTCAATTCCCCAAGGCTCTGTGCCCACCTCCCCCATGCCTCAGAGCCGACCACAGAACCACCCCATCACTGCAAAACCTCCTGGGGAGGTGGCTGGGGAGTAGCAATGCGGCAGAGACTGGGGGAAGCTGGTTGGCTGTGCAGTGGGAGCGCTTGGCCTCGCCCCTGCCTGTGCCACTGACCAGCTGGGCCAGTCTCTAACCTCCATCACCGGCACCATAAAATGGAAACAAATACACTCCCTGCCTGACAGAGCATGCAAAAAGCACTTGTAAGTGGGGAGAGCACAAAGGAATTTAAATGCTATAATAGTTCAAACTAATATTGGAAGAGACATTCCTCAGCCACATCTCTAAAGGGATGCTGAGCCTGCACTTAAACACCTTCAGCAACAGAGCACTCACTCCCTTCTGAGTAAGCTCGATACCAGCATTTACTGTCCTCTGTTTTCATGCCATGAGACGTGCCCTCCCAGCCACCTGTCATCTTCAATCTTCCAGGAGAGCCTGTGCATTAAAGAACATTCCCACTTCACAGATGAGCACATTGAGGCTCAGCATGGTTAAGGAGGTGGCTTACTCCATTTAGTGATGGACCCAGATCTGTTTAATTCCAAAGTCAACCACCAGGTTACACTGCCCTCTGCTTGTGGGAACATTGGTCTTTTATTAAATGGAGTTGAATCTGAGGTTCAGGTTCCCAGGAGCACAGGTCAAGCCTTGTTGCCTCGGTTTCATGAAACAGTCCTTCAGGTTTGAAACTGTGGCACCCTCTACCTTGGGTGATCTCCCTTCTCCCTTAGTTTTCCCAGGAGGCTTCAAGAGCCGAGGCTCTGATGGCTCCTCCTCAGGCCAACCTCCCCCAGACACTGCCTGGAGACCCCCAGGCCCCAGAGCACCAGCCCAGGAGGAAGTTCATGTTCAGCAGCCAGTGCCTGCAGCACGGCCTTTGAGGCCACTGCCAGGGCAGGTCCCCAGCTGGTTCTGTGCCTGCCGCCAAGGGGCCCACGCTTGGGGAGTTGTCTTCAGGCACTCCCGGGCCCCAGCCTGAGCCAGCTGGAGCGGTACTCCTCTGGAAACTGAGATGCCCAGTGTACTCCACTAATCCCTTGGGCGGGAATGAGGCCCACGCAGGTGTTGACAGCCTGGAACCAAGAATCCTGAAAGTACCACAAGGGCTGCTCTCACTCCCCGCCCCTGGGAATTGCCTTCAGGCCCAGGAATCCAGGCACAGGGCCCCACCTGGGCTCCAACTCCTAACCATGGCCACTGGGAGCAAGAGGGGCAGGAAGAGAGGGGAAAGGTGAGACTAGGGGGAGGAGGGCAGTGTAGCAGGGTGGGCTCAGGTCCCCGGAGCTCCTACTCTGGCTCACTAGTTTCCTAGCTGAGTGACTTTTGCAAGATACTTCCCCTCTCTGGTCTTAGTCTCCTCACCTGTAAAATGAGAGTCATAACATTGCCTTCCTCATGCAGTGGCGGTGATGACTTATGGAGAGATTGCATGTTGGTTTGAGTTGCTGCCACTACTTCCTGCCCTTGCCAAGGAATCCTGAGGCCGAAATTCTTTCCCTACACTCCTCTCCTCTCTGTCACTTCCTGCTCAGATGACAAAGAGCGTCCCGGCCGTGGCAGGAGAAACTCAAGGCCCTCATTGATGGCTGGGACTACCTCATCCCGCTTAGCGACCTCCCTCCCAGTCTTTTCACAAACTTAAGCCGCTCAGCCCACATCCCCGCATGCTCTTTCCATGGACCCCTTAACAGCCCTGCTTTCCCCTCCTCACCATCCCACTGCTCTCCAGGAAGCTGTCACAGATCTCTTCTGCACAGAGCACTTGACCTTGCTGAAGCCTGCGGTGTCGGGGTGTACCTCTCTGACCAGAGTGGCCATAAGCCCTGGTTTGCTGAGACAGTCATGGTTTATGCCTGTGTCCTGGCAAATTACTACTAGCACAAATTTCCTACCTCTTCACTCTCCAAAGTGTCATTTGGTTGATAAATTATACGGCCACCCTATAGATAAGTGATCACTGAGTGAATAAAAGTAGAGCATGCATGCAAGGAAGTGGGTGGGTGTGGAGAGAGTGGGGATAGGAGCTGGGGAGATGTGAGGATTGTACCCCCTACTGGCGTGGTTCTGTAGCTCCTATTAGAGGATCTTGAGACCTTCCACTGCACAGACACATGGGGGACCTATAAACGCCCATGGGAGGCCTCGGCCCTGACGCTTTACCAAGGGGCTGGCTCTGTGGCCAACAGAGAAGCAAGAGCTGGAGGGAAGGAGTGAAACAGGCAAAGGAGGGTCTCAAGCTTGCCTGCCTCACCATTTGCTGGGTCAGTCCCCCGCCAAGAAGCATAAAAGTGGGCAATGTGAAAGGTGGATTTGGAGTCTAAACTCCAAGGCTACAGCTGTCAAGATCTCTTAAAACATGGCCCTGAGTGGAGCCCAGTAGAGGCTGTGGTGTCACCAATGCTGGGCACCCTCTTCTCTCACCTCCCTTCTTTTAGGCACCATATTTCTGTTAACGAAGCCTGTGATTTTGCTGGCTTTTTGGGAGGCACTTAATGTGGCTGGCTCCCACGGGGCCTACAGTCTCCTCCACCTCTACTTCTTTTCATGCAGGCTGCCATCCTGAATGTGTGTACTTATTTAACTGGATCTGAGTACAATGGGTAGAATCCCATTACTGAGGGTGTATAAGCCATGGAGGGAAGACCAGTTTGTATAGGTGACTGTTCCAAAACCAACAGTCCATGACTATGTGAGCACCAACAGTTAGAAAGATTGTCTTTGGCTGCTGGTAGATGGTGTGGAAAACTAGAAAGCACAAGGGCATGAAAAGAGTCCTGGGCTGGGAGTCTGGAGGTTGGGCCGACCCGAGTGACCTTGGGCCAGTTCTTCTAACTCCTGAATCCTAGGGCCTCTGTGTTTAGTGCTCTTCTAGCAATTACTCCATTATGAAGTGAGGATTCCATGCCCAGCACCAGGCCAGAACTTTATGTGCAAGGTCTCAACCCACTCCTGGGAGGTAGGATCTATTATTATCGTTACTGGACAGATGAGGAAATTGAGTTTCTGCATTGTTGACATTTGCCTAAGGCCACCCACCTGGTTAATGGCAGAGCCATGATAGAGGTGAGGTCTGGTGATTCCAGGGCCATGCTCTTAACCACAGCACCACAGATGCGAGAGAATTCAGGGGTGCTCTTTCTCCCTCTCCAAGCCAAAAGGTGGTAGGTGCCGTGGTCCCCCACACCTCTCCCAGCAGCAGGGCTGGTAGGCCAATGAGCCACCCCTGCAGCCCTCGACATTGGAACTACCCCCTTAACATGGAGAGCATGGACACAGCTGGACAAGGGAACCAGAGTCACCCACTGGTTGGTGACCAAGATGAGACTCAGGTCTTTGGAAGATATCAGGAAGGGCTCTCTGACAGGGAGGCTGGAGGTCTCTGGCGGCACCTGGAAGGAGTGAGCTCTCCCTGGTGAGTTTTCAGGGGGTGAAAGGAATTTGTGTACATCGGGCCACTTCCCAAGCTTGATCTCCAGACACTGGGAAGTCCCCCTGGTGGGGAGCCTAAGAGGGGCGGGGCAGGGGGGCCTGTGGGCAGCATTTCCTCCTCCGCTCCCGCCTGCCTGCCCGATGTTCCTGAGCAGCAGGCTGCGGAGGTGAGGCCGGGCGGGGCCCTCAGCCCGGTGGGGACAGCTCGGATATGCCGCAGCTGGGCCTGCAAGGTGGTGGGACTTACTCGGGTACCGATAGTAGAATTCGTTGTCCAAGTCGCTGGAAATGTTCCTGGACATCCTCTCCTCGATCCAGTGGGCGTCGGCATCCAGGTCATAGCGCACGAACACGCCGAAGAGGACCACCAGGGCCACCTGCAGGAGCAGGCAGACGACCGGCAGCCGCCAGCGGAGATTGGTGTTCCAGGCCATGCTGCAGGGGGCGCCTGGCCGGGACGGGCAGCAGGCAGTTCGGACGCTCGGAGGCGAGAGAGGCTTTTAAGACTTGGGCAGGGGCGGGGCGGCCGAGTCCGGTTGCGGAACAGCTGATCCGGGAGCCGCCCGCGCGCTCGCCCAACCGGGGAGGGGACCCGCGGCCCGCGGCTCGCCCTCCGCCCAAGGGCCTCCGCGCTGGGGTGGTGTTGACGGTGGCGGGAGTAGGGACCGAGAGGGCAGAGGGCAGGGATTAAGGCGTCCAGCCTCTGTGGATCCCATAGATACCGGGCAGCACTGCCTTTCCTCTTCTGTTCCGGTGAACAGAGGAAGAAAAAGCCGATCATTTGCCTCCCACTGAGATAAAAACGAAGGCATTCCCGGGCATAAATCATCATCATCATCATCTTCTTCATCTTCATCTTCTTCATCGTCGTGCCTTTCTTTTCCTGATTACAAAATTCACACAGGGTACATGAAAAACCAGGAAAGTTCAAGAAACTGTCACACACCAGGGAAGCCTGAAGAGACATGACACATCAACGTGATGTGATACCCAGGATTGTATCCTGGAACAGAAAGAGGATGTTAATGGGAAAACTGGAGAAACCCAAATAAAGTCTCAAGTTTAGTTACTAGTGTTGTACCCTCCTTGGTTTCTTAGTTGTGACAAGTGTACCCTGGTTATGCAAGTTAGGAGGGACTGGGTGAGGGGTACAGGGGAACTCTCTGTACTATCTTTGCACATTTCAGGTAAATTAACATTATTCCCAAAGAAAAGGGTATTAAGAAAAAAATATATATAAAAGATTGCAGGAACAGTTTAAGAGCTTTTCACAAGTTCATTTAACTATGATCAGGAATTATCTATTGGTTACTATAAGTGATCTTGATATGAGTCAAGATAGAATTTAACCTTGGAATTTAAGTTAAATCTTTGCTTAGTCCGTATTTTGTCAAAATAAATTTGATTTTCTTATTTTTTTAAATATTGCTTTCCCTTTATTTTTCACACACACACAGACTGTATTTTATTTTTACAAGAGATAAATCAACTGACACCAAGCATTGTAGATGGATGACCGCAACAAAAGTAACAATGATTGCAATTACCAAACACGAAACACACTCATACTATGTCATAATATTGACATTCAGTCCAGGAATCCTCCACCGTAACAGCTCCTTTACTTTGCAGTGAAAATTGATTTGTATATTTTTTGCCTCTGAGTCCTTGTGGGATTTTTTAAAATTTTATTCAAACAGAAAGTCACAAAAATTATAATCATCCTCATCATTTCACTCAGTCCGATGTAATTAATTTTTAAAATTTTGATCTTTTGTTAGCACTTTTATGAATTCATCAGTTAAAAAGAAAGAAAGAAAGAAAGGGAGGGAGGGAGGGAGGGAGGGAGGGAGGAAGGAAGGAGATTCTTCTGCTGCCTTTAGTCCCAGCTTGCCCCTGAACTTGGGGAACATGACCTCCTCAGTAGCATTTTGATGCTATTGCACTTTACTGAATGTCCCAGGGCAGCTGTCCTCTTCACTGGCTGCCCTTGGTCTTACTGGTGAACTGAGCTCTGTTTTTCCCTCGAGTGGCTAGCAGTTTCATTTCTGGTGCCCCTGGGGGGAAATGGCCACTGCTCCAAAAGCCTAGGGAAAATACCTCCTCCCAGAATACCTTCTCTCCAGCTAACATAAGGCCAGGCCAGCAGGCTGCCCCACCTCAGACAAGGGCCAGACTCTCTGCAGAGCGCCTGTCCTCCCAGGGTGATGGCAGGAGGATGGGAGCTCCCTCCCCGGGCCATTCATCCACTTTCTCCTCTCCTCGATCTACAATTCATACATTCATTCAGTCGTTCAGTCACTCACACACTCTTTCTTTGTAGCGCTGGCCTCACATCATCTGCTTATTTATCTGTCTGTGGTCTGACCCCTACATTCAGTCCCCAAGGGCAAGGGCCCCTAGAAGAGATTCTAGCTCAAGGTAGTTGCTCGTTAATGATTTTTCGAGTGAATGAATGCATGAATAGATGAACTCTCATTTTATTTAGCTAATCAAAACATGTACTGAGCACCTACTGCATACACAATGCAGGATTAGGCCCAAATAGCTGCACAAAGATGCACCCCCCCCCCGCCTCCCCAGGTTTAGTACTATACAAGAGGAGGCACAAGTAATTTGCCCCAGTGGTTAAAGCAGAATTAAGCACTTTCCTATGCAGTTGAGAAGAGTTTGGTGGGCACCAAGGCAATCAAGGTGGGCCTCATGGAAGAGGTGAACTGATCTGGGATTTGTAGAGCAGTTAAGAGGTAGACCTTTCCCCTCTGCCCTCTGGCTACCCTTGACTCACCCACATCCCACCAGTTGATTCCAGGCCACCTCCCTGTCCTGGCCCAGTATTTTCTCTTGCCACCAGCAGGCTGGGATTCTAGGCTTCTCCTCTGAGACCAGGGTTCAAGACACTGGCTGCTCAGGTCTGTTGGGCCAGGCAGGGGTTTACCACAGGAACCAGCCGCTTCCTCCTAAAACGTGAGTGCCTTGACAAGTAGGGAGGATGAGTGGGGATTGCCGGGACAGGATGGTTTCCTCCCAGCCAAAGAGAGGCAGGGCATGGCAGCCACGTGGGCAGGCAGGAGGGGAGTTGTGGTTTGGGGGCAAAGGTGATTCTGAACTGCCCTGGGAAACAGTTCTGGCCACACCCCATTCCCTTCATCTCCGCAGAGCCACAGAGAGTGCCACATCTCCACGCTCATGGGGCGGTCTCCCATGTGGCTGGCCTGCGGGGCAAGGCGAGAGGATGCAGGCTTCTGCAAAATTCTCTCCCCTGTGACAACTTGTGGGATCAAAAATGAGGTCACAGATAGTGGGACACGGGACATCTTGTGCTCCCTGGTGGGCTGCTCTGAGAGGGTCACAACATTCTATCTGTGCTATTCCTACCAAAAACATACACGTTGAATTTAATCATGTGGAAGCAGCAGACAATCCCAAATTGAGGGACATTCTGCAAAACAACTGGCCTGCATTCCTTAAAAAAAATGTAGGTGTCCCGGATGACCAACAAAAAAAAAAGAGAACTAGATTAAAAAGACATGACAGCTGCATGTGGTGCTTTGATTGATCCTTGATTGGCTCCTGGATCAAAACAAACAAACAAAAAGAACCCTGTAAGAAACCACTATTGGGAAAGCTGGGGAAATCTAAACAAGAACCACGGTTAGATAAGGGATTTATCAGCGTCAAGTGTTTTGAGTATGATCATTGTAGTGTGGTTGTATGGGACAGTGTCCTTGTTCTGAGAGTATGCCTCGTGAAGCATTTTGAGGGGAAATGTCATGATGTCAACTTTCAAATGGTTCTGAAAACAATGTGTGTGTGTGTGTGTGTGTGTGTGTGTGTGATGAAGCAAAAGTGGTGAATCCAGGTGAGGGGTACATGCATGTTCATTGCACCATTCTTGCAACTCTTCTGTAGGTTTGAAAATTCGTAAACAAAAAGTTTGGAGAAAATCCCTTGTGGAGCTGTCACTGGGAGCCTCCGATTTCTGCTAGGAAAAATCAGCTTCCCCAAGGCCTGGGGCAGAAACCACAGAGTTATAGGCTCAAGGAGAGTCCCACCCACACACTCTGCCCAATTACAGTTCAAACTTTGCATGACCCACTGGGGTCCCTGTGTTCCGTACAGAACAGGGGCCAGCATGTACCAGGGACTCAGCACTTACTCAGGACCTACCCCATGCCAGGCCCTGTACTAGGCACCAAGACATCAAGCCCCTGCTCTTTCAGTGTGCACAGTTCATGGAGGGGTCAGCTCATGCCATTGCAGAGTATGTTCTGGGTACAGGAGTCCAAAAACACACAAACCAAAATGCAGGGGTCTCAGGGAAGAGAGAAGCAGAGATTAGCAACAGTAGCAGCCTCTGTGAACTGGGCGTTTCTAGAAGCCAAGCACAGAGCTGGGCCTTCTCTGGACAACACTGTGTCTCCTCTTCACAATGGCTGACCATGCAGGGGGGATTTTTTTTTTTTAACAAGGTGGAAACTCTGGCTCAGAGAGGTCACATCACTTGTCTAAAGTCACACAGCTAGAGGATGGCAGATCTGGAAAAGGAGGTGACGTGATCTCAGTCACGAAGAGGTTTGACAAACTGACTTAGTTTTGGTTTTGGTTTTGGTTTTGGCTGCACCGTGCAGCATGTGGGATCTTAGTTCCCCGACAAGGGATCGAACCCGCGCCCCCTGCAGTAGAAGTATGGAATCTTAACCACTGGACCTCCAGGGAAGTCCCCTCAAACTGACTTAGTTTGTTGCTTGCCAGGCATGAAGGGACTGCTTGAGTGAAGATGTGGAGGGAGGAAAGTGTGGGCAGGGTTTCTCAGCTTTAACACTAGTGACATTTGGGGCCAGATAAATCTCTGTTGTGCATCTGTCCTGTGTGTTGCAGGATGTGTAGCGGCATCCCTGGCCTCTACCCACTGTATGCCAGTAGCCAGTAGCACCCTCTACCCCTTGCTGAAACAACTAAAAATGTCTCCAGACATTGGCAGACGTTTGTCTGGGGGCAAGATCCCTGCCGCTGAGAGCCACTGGGGTAAAGCAACTGCATCCTGCCCCAAGCTGAAGGGCAGCCCTCGGCCTAGCTCTGCTCCTGGCTGGAGGGCTGTGCCTGCTCCCTCCTGAGGTGGGCAGGTGGACAAACCCTGGCATGAACTCTGCACTATCTCTGCGGCTGCACCCGGCTTCTCCTCCCACACTGTCCTCGCCTCCATTTCTGCCTTGACTGCTCTTCTTGGAGAGTCCAGTGAGCAGCAGCCCCCTGGGCCAGCTGAGAGTGGCCAGAGACAGGCCAGGCCCTGATCATCACTTGCAGGGCCTAGGAAGGTCACCCCTTCCAGTGTCTCAGTGTCCCCACTTGTAACGCGCAGACAAACACAACTGCTTTGAGGAATCCCAATGGATCACTGCTGTGGCCTCAGGGTTCCTGGCCAGGCCTGAATTCCAGACAGTGAGTGACAAAGGGAGGGCTCTTGCGCAGGGATCGTCCCCTCCACACCCACACAGGGCAGAGTTCTGTCTGAAGCCCAGATGGAAATGCTGTC